TTTCTGCCTGTGCTAGGGCAGAGGAGGATCTGTACAACGCTTGAGTAATTTCAGTTCTACCAGTTTGCCTGAAGATCCAGCTGCCTTCTCGGGGTTCCTGGGATCTGGAGGCCTGAGACAATTTGAGGTCCTGGTGCACCCCTGGCAAGGGAGTGACACCTTTGTCCCTGAAGGCTGGCTCTACCCTGCAAAGTGCACAGGCTCCTCTCCTCTGAAGTAGTTTCCCTTAACATGGCACCACTCCATCTCCCCACGTTGTACATCACTCTAGATGAGGATTCTTAACTTTGTCAGTACTCATGTTTTGGGCCAGATAATTCTCTGTTGTAAGGGCTGTCCTGTGCATTGTAGGGTGTTTAGCATCATCCCTGGCCTCTACCCAGTAGATGCCAGAAGGACATCAACTCCCCTTTCCTCCCTTTAAGTCCTGACAAATAAACAAACAAACAAACAAACAAAATGGTTCCAGACATTGCCAGATGGCCCCCAGGGTCTGTAAGGGCCAAAATTGCCTCCAGTTGAGAACTACTGCTCTAGATGTTTCTGGTACTGAGATTGGCTTTTTACTTCAGTGACTCTGCTTTTTCCAACAAGCACAAGTTTCAGATTTAGAGAACTGTTTTGTTTAGTTTTTTAATTTATTGATTTGAGAGAGAGGAAGGGAGAGAGACATTGATTTGTTGTTCCACTTATGCATTAACTTGTTGCTTCTTGTATGTGCTCTGACTGGGGAGTGAACCCTCAACCTTGGCATATCGTAATGATACTCTAACCAACTGAACTACCCAGCCAGGGCAAATTTAGATAACTTTGTAAGGCCACAACATTGATCTATTCTATAGAATAAAAATAATGTAGTTTAAAAACTAAGAGTTTTTGCCAATTTAAAAACAATACCTTCTAATTGCTCCTCAAAAGGGCAAACAGTTCATTTCACAACTTGGAAATAGAAGCAGTTCAGATGAGAGCATTTTAAAATAGTGCCAAAGTTTACAATGTTTAGCGAATAGTGTTTGTCCTGGAATTAATTAAGTGGACAAGAGGTATTGATAGTGTTTTATTAGGCTTGATTCCTATGATAATCTACTTCTTTGAAAGTGGGTGCCATGCCCAGTCATCTGCTTATTTCAGTTGGATGTGGTTCATTTGCTTTGGTCCCATAGAATCCCATCCAGTTAAGTTTCATTTTCTGGCACCATACATAGTTGTTACAATATTATTGACTATATTTCCTATGCTGTACATTACATACCTATAACTGTTTTGTAACTACCAACCTGTACTTCTTAATCCCTTTACCTTTTTTACCCAGTTTCCTATTCCCCTCTTTTCTGGCAACCATCAATCTGTTCTTTGTGTCTATGAATCTGTTTCTGTTTTGTTTGTTCACTTATATTGTTCTTCAGATTCCACATATAAGTGAAATCATATGATACTTGTTTTTCTCTGACCACCTTATTTCACTTAGCATCATATCCTCTAGATCCTTCCATATCCATTCTGTCCCAAATGCTAAGATTTTATGCCCTAGTAATAATTCATTGTATATGTATACTACAGCATTTCAGAGAGGAAGGAAAAGAGAGAGAGACAGAAACTTCAAGGATGAGACAGAATCACCGATCGGCTGCCTCCTGCACTGCCCCGCAACCTGGGCACGTGTCGCCGCCCTCCCCAACTGGAATCGAACCCAGGATCCTTCAGTCTACAGGCCCAATGCTCTATCCACTGAGCAAAACTGGCCAGGGCTGTACTACTGCTTTTTTATCTACTAATGTATTGATGGACAGCTTGGCTATTGTAAAGAATACTGCGATGAGCGTAGGGATGCATATATTCTTTTGAATTTGAGTTTCTTCAGATATATACCCAGAAGTGGAATTGCTGAGTCATAAAGGACTTCTATTTTTTAATTTTTTGAGTAACCTCCATATTGTTTTCCAAAGTGGCTGTACCAGTCTGTATTCCTACCAGTGCATTAGGGTTCCCTTTTCTTCATATCCTTACCAACACTTGTTTGTTGATTTATTGATGATAGTCATTCTGACAGGTATGAGATGAGAGCTCATTGCATTTTTAATGTGCATTTCTCTGATGATTAGTGATGTTGAGCATCTTTTCATATGTCTATTGGCCATCTGTATGTACTCTTTGGAGATGATTTTATTTTAAAATCATAACCTCTGAGCCATAAATGAAGGAAGGCTGCAGGAATGGACAACTGTGGCCTATGACTTGGAAGGGGAAATAATTTGGTTCTACTTTATAGCTAGCACTACATTTTGCATGTTGTATCCTCGTGTTTATATGCAAATATGTCATGAACTTCCTGCTATTTTTCTTTTTGGTAAATTATACTATAAAGAAATTTCTTACATATCATTAGATTTCTACAATACAAGTGCTTCTGAGGGGATAGATTTAGCAGATGCTATCAAATGAAATAGTCCTTTCCAGATACTGATGGAATGAGTACTTTTATGTAATAAGTGTTCTGCAAGACATAAGTCATTTTCCTAGTAAAGAAAGTATCTCCTTTGGTCATAACCTTAAAACCCTGGTGATAGTCCTATATGATATCATTACCATTACTCTAATTAACTTCATATAGAAATTTATAGAAGAGATTAATGCAAGCTAATCTTTCAAGAACAGCGAGTCTCCTTAAATGCTGTTGACAAAAGTAGAAAATATACAGTGACAGGAAGGTTTTAGGTTACCAACACCTTTCTTCACCCAACATCTTTCTTTGAGCTTGTCTCTTTATTTAGAATATGAGGAGAGAATGAAATCTATGGAAAAAAGGACTAAGGAAGCACTGTATCTTGTACTTACCAGTGGTTGGGCAAGAATAGAGAAAAGAATTGATAGATTTTGTAATAAAGCAACAGCTTTAATTTTTTAATTGGAAATATTTAAACAGAGGGGACCACAGACATTGCAGAGTTGAACTTGTAATACATGTAGAGCAGGGATCAGCAAGCGTCCGCTGTAAAGAGCCAGATAGTAAATAGTTTAGGGCTTTGTGGGCAGTTTGTTCTCGGTTGCAACTACTCAACTTTGTATTTGTGGTGTGAAAGAAGACATAGACCATATATAAATGAATGAGTGTGGCTGTATTCCAGTAAAACTGTATTTATGAACACTGAAGTTTGGATTTCATATCATTTCCACATCTCACACGATCTTCTTTTGACAACCCCCGCCCCACAGGGATATAAAACTAAAAACCAAACAAAAGTAGGTAACTGGCTGTTGTTTGCTAACCCCTAAGTCTCAGTTAGTGCTACTGCTAGCCAATAAAGATTATAACACGATGGTAGAACAGAATATCTGTCCCATGGCCCACCCTCCTTCATATCAAGAGGAGTTAAAAATATAAAATTTGCTTTATTTTCGAGGTAAAATAAGAACAATAAAGTAGTAATATGATAGGATGTGTATGTAGTTAAGACTCAATGGAGTTAGGCCAGTAATATTTTTAGGAATTTGCTAAAAATACAAAAACAAAGCCAGTAAAGTAAGTTTAGCAGCACACTTCTTTGAACTGAGAAGTAGGAAGAATGCAGTAGTCTGTGAGGATGTCTTTTGGATTTAACTGCAGAATTTTGAAAATTAATCTTTGAAGATTCTAAATCCATCAGAATCCAGTGGTATAGTTTTGTAAGACATTTCTTACAATGACACCTGAGAATGTTCCCACTTGTTCCCACAATAAAATAAAATGAAAGGACCTTTAAAGAAACTGGATATGTTTTATTGGTTCTTGCTGCAACAAATCTCTTAGGTCTATTATTCAGAGACAAGCTTAAGTGAGGAGAGCATTGCTACTTAATTTACTCCACATTTTTAGGATTTAGTATTGCCAAAATATTTGGAAGTACTGCAAAATACAAAATATTTTCAGATTTTTGGTCCAGAAATGTAGGTTGGGATTTTCCCAAGCCTTATGCAGCATGGTGAAACTGTTTCTCCTTGCTTTGATTTCTTCCATCTTCTAGAGCAGGTGAAAAAAATTAACTGCTTCGGAAGGAAATACTCCCAGTCATGCAAACAGCTAATATAAAGAATAGAGAATTTTTCTTGAACCAGATAAATCAAATTTAATGATTAGATGAAAGAAATACAGCCTCAGAAGAGGCAGAATCAATTGTTAGCAATAGCTCAGAAAAAGAAACTTACTAGATGGAATTCTATGCAGCAAACGATTTATTTCAGTGGTTCTCAACCTGTGGGTCGCGACCCCTTTGGCGGTCGAATGACACAGGGGTCGCCTAAACCCATCCTGCATATCAGATACTTATATTACGATTCATAACAGTAGCAACTTTACAGTTATGAAGTAGCAATAATTTTATGTTTGGGTCACAACATGAGGAAGTGTATTTAAAGGGCCAGAAGGTTGAGAACCACTGTTTTATTTCAATGAGTTCGAATGGAGTTTGTTTTTATATCTTCCTTTTTGAAAATGAGTTTTATTGTATATGCTTGATATGAAGGAAGATATTAAATTTAGAAAAATAATAACTTTTGTCATACTGATTTCCCCCACCCATCACCCCCATTTATGGGTTTTTGCTTGCTGCTTTGTAAATGGGAGAAAACACTTGAGAGATGCTAGATGTCTTAAAGTTAGATAGCTTCATTTAAAACTGATAGTTGGTAATACTGGAAAAATAAAATTAGTTGATAAATTTATAAATTTATGTTGTTTAATATACCACAACAGGTTGAGGTTATTTTTATGAGCCTTAATAAATAGCTTTCTATTGCTAAACTAACAAAGTGGCTTCAGCTATTGTTAAAGTACTTTGAGATATAAATAAAAATTTTAGAATTCTTTTTAATAAACTTTTCCCTATGACTTGACCATGACATTTACATTTCTGATTGGCTAATGAAATTACGGAAACTTTTGATTTGAAAACCAGAAGAACATTAGACAGTGCTTTTTATTTGGAGCTGATGTGTTCTCTTTGTTTTACTCTCTTTTTTTTCAGTGAAACCAGCAGTGTATGTAGCAGCAGTGACACAGGGCTCTTTACCAACGATGAAGGACGGCAAGGTAATCTTGATCCCAGCTTTAGGAAGATTCTAATGATTATAGGAGTGAGTGACTGAGACTATGGTGATTGTCGATAGCAGCGGCTCTCAAACTTTAGGGCATGTAAGAGCCACCTGGGGAACTGTTAAAACTGCAAATTTTCAAACTTCTGCAAATCAAATAGTTCTAGAGTTGTCCCTTTGGACTCTGCATTTTATGCAAGTACCTGGGGTGATTTTTATGCAGGTAGTTCAGACTTTGAGAATCATTGGTCCAGGGGGATTATGGTGTCAAGAATGGGACTTTGGGAAGTTGCATTTTATTAGATATTAAATTATTCTTACTTTCATACAGGAATATTTAATTTTTTAACCTTATTTATAAATGACCACAGTGTTCTGAATGAATATATTATAGAAAACATCTTTCTAAAGTTTAGCATAGAACACTAAATAAGGCCAATGTATATTAATTATTGGTTCTTTATTTTTTACTACCTAAGCAGTAATTTGAAACTTTGTCCTTATCCTGTACACTTGCTTAAGACCACAGAAATTGTGTACCAATAAGAATTTCATATAGCTCCCTTGGACTAGTTTTCTTACTCCAAATCAGGGATTTGTAGATCTCTAAAGTTCCTTCTAGATCTGAAATCCAATGATTTTTCTCCAAAGGTTAAGTGATTGAAGGACAGAGACACAGTGGCTACATGTCTTGGTTGATACAGATAGGCTCCCTAGTAATTGAAGGAATCCTGAGACTGTGAGACTTAGGATCCAAGTCCTGATTTGGAGAGAGAAACCATGGAGGAGGTGGTTTCTCACCCATGCCTCAGAGTAGTTATGGGCATGGAGGGACTTTCTTATTCTCTGGCAGCACTCTTTTGAGGAGCTCCTGCATCAGGCATCCTAGTGAACTCAGGTTGAAGACCACAGGTCTAGATGATTTCACAAGGTTGCTTCCAGTTCAGTGAGTCTCTTTTCATATCAAAAATCTTGAGTAAATGCTTGAGAACCAAAAAACATTCCATGATAGTTTGCCATTTGTTATCAGAAAACATAATCTAGCTAAGTACACTCTTTTACTAAATGGCCTAAGAAATGCTTATGAATAAGAAAGGAATTAATATGGTGAAATGCAGAGAAACTGTATTAACTAGAGGCCTGGTGCACAAAAATTCATGCACTTGGGGATGGGGGGAGGGTTCCTCAGCCCGGCCTGTGCCCTCTCACAGCCCGGGAGCCCTTAGGGGATGTATGACTGACGGCTGAGGCCCACTCTCCATGGGGAGCGAGCCTAAGCTACAGTCTGGCCCACGCCCCCCACTTGCCCCACCACTGCTGCCACTGGTGACCTCACTCTGTAGGAGGTGACCAGGCGGGCTGATCAGGGGACAGCGGGCAGCGGCCCCGCCCCGAATTGCCCCGCTTCTGTTGCTGGTGGCCTCCCTCTGTGGGAGGCGACCCCAGTGGGCCAGTCTGGGGATGGCGCTGGTCAGCCCCACCTTGAATGCCTTGCTGCCAGTGGCCTTCCTCTATGGAAAGTGACCCCAGCGGGCTGATAGGGGGATGGTGAGTGGCTGGCCCCACCCCGAATTGCCCTGCCGCCATCGCTGTCGCCGGTGGCCTCCCTCTACAGGAGGTGACTAGGTGGGTCGATTAGGGGATGGCGCCGGCTGGTGAGCGGCCGGCCCCACCCTCCCATCGCCCCTCTGCCACCGC